CGAGTTGACGCGTTGTACGTTTTATTGTTTGCTCAGGACCCGGTATACGGATAGTTGAGGAGAGGGGGGGAGGAGGCAGGGCTGGGGATTTGGGGAAGGGACGGAGTTGAGGCGGCGCCAGGGGTGGGGTAAGAAAAAAAACGGGGGGGGGGGAGGGGCGGCCAAAATTGTTTTTGCTTGGGGCGGCAAAAATCCTAGAGCCGGCCCTGACGACAGGGCTCAGGACAGAGGGAGCTTGCTAGCAGCAGCTGCTGTCTCAACTTGCTGATCTACTTAAAAAGGAAATGTACTTAGAGTGGGGTCAGCGTACTTAAAGGGGCAATATGCATCTCTCTCTCTCACACACACAGGGTGTGTCTTTCTGTCTCTGTCTGCCATGCTGTCCCCCCTCCTTCCATTTGTGCAGTCTTATAGAGTCTGAGGCTACATTAACAACGTGTTAACCCTTGAGGGCTCAGCTGAGTGCTAGTTCATCATTTAGCAGTAAAAACAACTAGGAGTCTTGTGGCACCTTAAATGCTCTAATAAATTTGTTAGCCTAAGCTTTCATGGGCTATGACCCACTTCTCCATACATCTGAAGAAGTGAGCTATAGCCCACAAAAGCTTATGCTCTAATAAATTTGTTAGTCTCAGGGCCAGCTCCAGGCACCAGCTTAACAAGCAGGTGCTTGGGGCGGCCAAGGGAGAGGGGCAGCACCTGCGGCAATTCGGGGGCGGCAGGTCCCTCACTCCCTCTAGGAGCGAAGGACCTGCTGCTGAACTGCCGCTGCCGATCGCGGCCTTTTCCCCCCCCCCAATTGCCGCCACCGGTCGCGATTGCGAACGCGGCTTTTTTTTTTTTTTGCTTGGGGCGGCAGAAATGCTGGAGCCGGCCCTGGTTAGTCTTTAAGGTGCCACAAGACTCCTCGTTGTTTTTGCTGAAACAGACTAAAATGGCTACCCCTCTGAAATTTAGCAGTAAGGCATTCCCTGGGAAATATCCTACCCTCTGACACCATTACCTCAACCAAGCTTCACAATCATCATTGCTGTGTACAGTATTAAATTGTTTAAAATGTATAAAGTATATTATATATATTAGTCTTTTGTCTGGTGAAAAAAATTTCCTTGGAACCTAACCCCCCACCATTTACATTAATTCTTATGGGGAAATTGGATTTGCTTAACATCGGTTCGCTTAAAGTCGCATTATTCAGGAACATAACTACAGCATTAAGCAAGGAGTTACTGTACAGGAAGTCAGACACTAGATGATTAGGATGGTCCCTTCTGGCCTTAAAGTCTCTGAGGCCAGTCAGATGGGCCTGCACTGGCAGCCAGTGCTGGCTTGTCACAGCTATGGGTGCTTAACAATTCTGTGCACTGCAAGCTGGGCCAAACTGGGGTGAACTCTGTTGGAATGCACGTTCTGATTCAAGTCTGATAACATGGAAAGATCCATTTAAAAGAGTCTGCCTAGAATTTAAACTCTCCTACTCTCAAAAGTTAGACCCGAACAGGAGCCTATTGAAGCATATAGAGTGCACAGACTGTCAGTCCTAAAGTTTCAAAAAAGTAAAACTGCACTGAAATCCCTGTGCAGCATTATTTTGGGTATTTAAACTTTTAAAAAATATTTCAGATCAGCTAATTTATGGCCAAATTGTGCCCAGCCCATGTGTGGTACAAGTGGCTTCTCTTTCATAACATCCACAGAAAGAGCTAACAACTGCAGTCTTTGTGCTCCCCTATGCAGAAGGGGAATTAGCTACAGTAGACTCCCCAAAAGGAGAAGAGAGATGGGGGAGGGGGCAACATCCTGCCCTCCCTCTAAACTGTCTCACAGAACTGACCACCTGCAAAAAAGGGTACACTGAATCCCCCTAAAATACATAGCAGTGGGTACCTTTCCCAGCCCACACTTTGGATCTCCATGGTGTATTTTGTACTTTTAGCATAGGCCAATGCTGAGTGCTTTTGAAGATACCCCTTACAGGCACAATTGGACTCCTACTTGATAAAGAGTCATTAGACACAATGACAATTACCTTTGGGCATTGTGCACTTTTTTCAACCAATGTGATACCGCCACACTCACCTATAGGAATCCAGTACTGAAGACACCTACAATTAAATTTTAACAAAAATTATATTTTAGTCACAACAATTCATTCTGACTAGTCCTGTTGTAACACATCATCATGTATCATTCTGTGACTTCACAATCATCAGCAATTCCAATGGACAACTGGCTAGTTCATGGGGCAGAGGGATGGGACCCCACAAATAAATGTCTTTTTAGTAAGAGGCAATATTTTTTCAACATATCTTCTAAAATAATATTATAGAACAATAAAATAAACATTTTAAACTATCCCATATACTAAAAAACACCACTTACTAGAGTTCCTATATGTTGATTGTTATTCTAGGAGTGGAGTCAGGGGAAACTGTTTTGGATCAAATAAAATAAAGCTTGCTGGTGCATCAAATGACTGTGGAGCTAGTCAGAAATGATGGGAACATAAAAATAATGTCAAAATAGTTTCATATTTAGTTGCTGAATTAGCCTTACCTAAATACAGTGCTGAATCAGGTCTTCCCAGCCTGCTTAGTGGGGTCATTTAGGACACAATACTGTTGATCCGATGGAATTTCATATGAGGCACCAATATACAGTAATTTTAAAATGTCATCTTGTCCATCTAACAACTATCTGTTGTAATATAAATACAGAAAACTCTTCAGTAGAACATCTAAACTGAATGGAACAAAAGGGAAAGCAAGATAGAAATAGAAAAATAAAGTGAGGAATCATATTTTGATTAGAAGATCTTTCTTTGACATTTTGGGGGCTATAGTGTACCATGTAACTTCAGCCTGAAGTAAAAGGTGATGTTCAGGTGCAGGGGAGCACTCATAGGCATTGCTGTAGAGCCACAATTCCTCTGAGCATCTCTGGTTGCACAGAAGGTGTGAGTGGGGAATTTGTGACACCCCTTTATAACATGCAACTTATTACTCCACAGGCTCCCAGGTGGGGAGAAGAGGAGCAGCAGAACCATGCCTGCACCTGCTACACTCTACCTGCCAACTTGCATTCAGGGGTAACACCAGGTGTTCAACTACTGCTATCACCTGAAGGCAAGAGGTGTGACCTGGGTAGCCTTGCAAGTGAGGAGAATCTCTACTCGCTCCTACTGTCTTGGGCAGTCATGCTAGGGCTAAGCACAATTTAGCCCTTTGTAAGCAAAAGGGTGTTATTAATGGTGTATGCAATATTTTCTCTGCAGAACATTTCTGAAGAAGGTTTCATTGTCAAAATCATGCTACTAGGTTTCCCCCACAATTTTCAGTGGATTTATTTTTTGTTTAAAACTAAAATCCCAGAAATGTAAGTATTGTTTAGACGCAACTAAAAATCATAGCTCCCCCACAGCGTGGACACTTCTAAAAAGTAGCCCATGAACAATAAGTTGTGGTTTTGGGGGCTAATAATACATTTGGAATATTTATGGCATTTTAATGCATGCATTGACACACACCGTTCACACACGTAAGGTTAACATTGATAATACATGAGAAAAATGATACACCATGTGAGTCGAGTGGTGATTAGCCCTGTGTGCGTGTTCAGGGAGTCAGCTGCAATCCATTCAACTTCCTGTTGACTTATGAACTATTTACAAAACATTTTTTACAACAATAATACATATAACTGGTCTTCTCCCCCACTCTCTTCTGAGCTCCAGTTGCAGGAAGGAAGGTAACTTACCAGTTATTGGAGTTCAGTGACTATATTGTGTTTGCAGAAGCACACCATTGGAGTTGTATGTGAAGCTTCAGAATCCCAGAATTATTCTTATTTTAACTTTTAGGGTGCATGCACATGCACTGACTTACAATCCAAAATTCTAACAGCAGCTATACAAGGCCCTGCAGCACAACCACTCTAAATAAAATTATAAAATTCAGAAGAAGTGGGAAAGAATAGAAGGATATTCCTATAATTAAATATTTGCATAGCACCATAGCTTTACAGAGCTTTACAAAGATGTTATCTCTGCCCCGTGTGTTCCAGGTTCTGCCACATACAATCAATCTATAAGGCTCTGTACACAGCCTAGACAAAAGAGAGAAATGAGGAATGAGGAGAATACAGACAGTAGGGTGTATAATGAGGGAGTGGTGGGAAATGAAGAGCCAAATTCATCCCAGCTATAACTCCATTTAGGTCAAAAGAGTTATCATTAGAATTAATTCAGCCCATTATGTTGGCAGGGCAGAGCGAGAACAAGCATTTGCTAACTTTTGTCTGAATTCTGAACAGTTGTTAAATTTGACCATCTCATTTACAGTGGAGCATAAAAATCATACTGTTTACAGAAATAGATTGGATACAGATTCTCCAATTCACAAACCTGTGTAGTTCCAAAATGTTCCAGCAGGGGACAGGATGTACATATTAAATCATTTAACTCAAGTTTTATTTTTGTAAAAATGCTTCATGTAAATTTTATATTGTTAGAAAAATACAAATACACAGATTGTTATTCTTAAATAATCCTTTAAATGCCCTTCAGGTTTTTTTTTTTTAAATTTCAAATAATTTTGTATTTGCAAGTAATGATACTTTGCCAATGAAGTTCTAGTCAGGTAAAATAATAGCTTTGTAGGGGAATTCAAGGTTGTTCACCAATGATATAAAGGTTGAATAGATTATTAAAGATCGTGGACTGAGCCGTTAATGCGAACATAATTCTTTAAATTAAATATCCACTCATAAATTTTCTGGTTTTTTGGCTATGGAATTCCGGGGAGCTTTGCACTCACAGGATGGTATCTGTTTTCAAAGATTTACCTTATATCTGCACCTAGGCTGGCTGCTGATGAGGGAAACTAGATGGACAAGGCTCTGAGATTTTGCAAAAGGGGCTGCTGTGTGACATCCACTTATAAAACCCATTTCTCCCCTTTCCTCCTGAGTCAGCTGCAGCTCAGAACTGTTTTTTCAGTTATTGTAAGATATATTGAAACAAAGTTTCAGGAGTTCTAGGCACAAATGCAGGAAACCAGGAGATTCTAACCTAATGAAAGGTTGTATAGAATGTAAACAGGTTAGAACCAATAGGGTTCCATAGAAATCACTATAATAAGATCAGTCATCAGATACCACAGTTATGGGTGCAGTATAAGAACCTGAATAGAACTCTAAAAGCCCATCGAATATAATAAAATTGAATTTTCTCTTCATATATTTTAAAGAATATTATGGATTTCTATAGCAAGAATATCATTTTCTATTCAGTTCTATAGTGCTGTTTGATAAGAGTAAATAAGGGCAAATACTGCAAGCGTTGGAATGAGCCAGAGAAACAAGATGTCTGGGCCAGGTCTCCTCACCAAGGGTGAGATTCTGTGACTGGCCTCTAAAAGTACAGCACAAAGCTTACAGTAGAAGCCCCCAGCGTAACTCAGGGCTTGTCTACACGGGGAACACACTAGTGCAGAATAGTTATTCCATATTAGTTCCTCATGTGGCCACACTCATTCTGCATGGAGTACTTTGTGCAGTTTAGGTTAATCCACTTTGAAAGCAGATTAACCTCAACCACAAAAAGGTAGTCTCTTAGGGCTTGACTACCTGAATACACAGCAAACTGGGGTGTAAATCTACCCTGCATTATCTGCCATATGGACCCTGCCTGCTGCTGCACACTAAAAGTTCCCTTTTTGATCTAACACACAATAGGGAACCTTTAGCGCTCAGCAGGGTCCATATGGACACTTAGGGCAGAGCAGGCTAGTGCAGGGCAGATTTACATCTCAATTTGCCATGAACTAAGTGTTCATTTAGATAAGTCCTTAGTGCAGAATACCTGTTACACTTTAAATTCATACCCTACTTTTTCAGTTATGGTAGCCTGCGTTGGGGTCCCCTATGGGATTTAATGCAGCCCAAAATCTCCAATGCTCCTTGGTGGAGCCCTGCACCTACACAACTCACCTGTCTCATCCCTGGCATGCCCCTGTACCAGGGCTTGCAAAAAGGTCCTCAGAAGGTAGCATATGGCTGTCTTCCATAATGCCTGTGCAAGGGGAATCCTCACGTAGGCAGTAATGGTGCACTGGTCCTTTTTAGGTGGTTTTAAGGTGCTCTGGTCCTTTTATCCAGTGGAAAGGGGAAGAGTAGGGGTGAGACTCTCACCCACTGTATCTTTTTCCTGAATTTCTGTATTTTTCCATTGGGGGCTGGCAGCCATGCAACTGAACAGCGACTAAAGCAGATGGTGTTTTACCATTTCCTGTGTTTGTGCAATGCTAGATTACGATGGTCATTTAGCATCTCTGGGCAAGCCAAGATGTTTTCCCTGTTAAGTGTAGCTCTAAGTGTAGTCGTTGCTAAGCAGCTGGGCCCTCACTGTCCTTCAGAGCCCATTCATCCTGCAAGGGCCAAGTAGTGCATGCAAGTCCACCTGTACCACAGTAAGATGTGCTAATGATTGCTTTTATAGACAAACAGGGCAGGATTGCCTCATTGGACAGTGCTGAAACAGGCAAATTACTAGAGCTAATCAACAGATTTTTAATATTCTTAATCTTGTTTGTTCTTGTCATTATAAGACAAGGAAGTTATTTCCCCATAAATGAAATTCAAAACTGATGAATATGAACATAACCTCTCTCTTATTGGGTATATAAAAGCAATTAAAAAAACCTCACAAAATATTGCTGATGAATATGAACATAACCTCTCTCTTATTGGGTATATAAAAGCAATTTAAAAAACCTCACAAAATATTGCTGATGAATATGAACATAACCTCTCTCTTATTGGGTATATAAAAGCAATTAAAAAAACCTCACAAAATATTGCTGATTTCCAGTAGCTGACAATGTAGCACAATGTTTAGAAGACATATAAGAATAATTTTTTGTTAGAAAAATTACAGTAGAAAACAGATTAGTTTCTTTGTCTTTTTCTAGAATTCTGAGATGTTAACTAATGATTACTTAACTCATGTTTTCGTCTACTGGTAGTATTTTTCATTCAGCATATGGTTAGCAATCATCTTACAAGTACACCTCTACCCCGATATAATGCTGTTCTGGGAGCCAAAAAAAAAATCTTACCGCATTATAGGTGAAACTGCGTTATATCGAACTTGCTTTGATCCGCCGGAGCGCGCAGCCCTGCCCCACCCACCCCGGAGCGCTGCTTTATTGTGTTATAGCCGAATTTGTGTTATATCGGGTCGCATTATATCGGGGTAGAGGTGTATGTGCATGTTCATTGTGAATGTTTCTATATGCTGTAAATCTAGCCATCTTTCCATAGACTATTATTATTGTGACAATTCCCTGTGTAAGACTTCAGGTCAGAGTCTTATCTCAGTTATACCAGTGTAAACCGAGAGTAACTCTATTGTAATTTACTGATTTACATTGGTGTAACTGAGATCAGAATCTGTCTCTTAGATTTTAATTCTCTATAACATTGCTAGTGTTTTGTGAAGTGATGCTAGTTCATACACAAAAAACAAAGTGTTGTTTCTATGCTATCTGTAAGGCACATAAACAAATAAAGAGGGAGTATACATAATTCAGCAAATTGTAGAGTAGCTTTACCATTTCCACTATTGGATAATTTCAGAGCTATTGTAAGCAGTCTTCTTTAAACATTTTGCGGATGGTCAGTCCAAAAAAGAGGCAT